AAGTTCAAAGGAGTTCCTTTAATCTGCAACAGGTTGTTTAAGGTAAAGTCTTGTTCATTTAGTGGGTTGTCTGACTCAGATCTTTTTGTGGGCTATGTGATATTCTGTGGGTCTCAAGAGGACAAGATCTACAAAGTCCAGGTAGCCTACAGTATGGGGCCTGTGTCGCCAAGGGCTGCAAAGAAACTTGGTTAAGCAGGCGTGATCAGTCATATAGTACTCTCGCTTTTGGGGCACCATCAAAGCAATGTCAAGGGTTTTCTCCAAGGGCAATCCACCCTCTCCCACCACCAGAGGTGAGATCATCTTCTTTGAGGCAGACAACCCGCCGCCCCCATCAGACTGTCTTGAACAGCAACGTAGGAGTGTCCACCCCATCGGGATGACTGTAGGGCATTGCTACCTGGCATGGATGACTTGGTCCTCTCTTACTCCACCTAACAAGGAGCTGTCCCCAGTTGAGGTGAGGTCTCTACTGGAGAAGTGGTCTTTGTGAAGTACAAATAGGGGGGTGAGAGAAGGGTTATAAATGTTACCCATTCTTATCACTCTATGGCCTGGGAGGTCAGATTGAGTGACTGCTTGACCCAAGAGCAACTGCCTGTCTTTGTCTTGGAGTTTGCTCTTATTGCAGGGATCCCATACAATGTCTGGTTTTAGCAATTGACTAACTTTGCACAGCATCATGTTATCCAAGTCCAACCATGAACTTCACAGTGCTTCATAGTCTCACCATTTTTTTTTAGTTTCACCATTATTTTTTAGTATTCCACTGTGTGTATGTAACAAATTTCTTTATCCATTCTTCTACTGATGGGCTTTTGGGCTGTTTCCAACTACTTACTATTGCTTGAAGTCTCCTGTCGAACATGGAGGTGCATGTCTGTTCAGATTCCATCTCTCCCTTCTTATACCCAGCAGAAGTACTGCTGGGTTGTATGGGAGTTCTTTTAGGTAGTACCATATTGTTTTTTACAGTAATTGTACATGCTTACAGACCCACCAGCAGCGTATGAGAGTTCTAATCTCTCTGCACCCTCTTCAGCATTTGTTGTTTTCTGTGTTTTTAATTGGGCTGTCCTTGTTGGTATTTGATGATTTCTTGTTGTTGTTTAGATTTACATCTCCAGGTGGCTAGTGATCATAAGCATTTTTTTTCATGTGCTTGTTAGCCATGAACTTTGGTGAACTGTCTGTTCACGCCCTCTGTTGACCTTTTTTCCCCTCTCTGGCTGAGGTTTTGCAGTATTCGATAGACTTTAGAGATGGGTCTTTGATCTGTTGTATATTACTGAAGACTTTCCCCCCACGTCTGTGGGTTCCCTTTGAACTCTTTCGACGAAATCTTTGGATGCACAGAGGTGTCTTGTTCCCATATGTCCCAGTCATCTATTTTGGCTTCTTTTTCCAAAACGTTTTACAATTTTAATTTATTTATTTTGTCTTCTACGGTGAGTGCTTCCTACTTGACGGTTGATAGTATGTCTATGCCCTTCAGTAGCCCCTAAGTCTCCCCATCTTTCCTTATTGATGATGTCCCACAAGGTTCCTTTTGAGTGAAAAATGGCACCAAACGGTTGTGTCAATGGAACAATTGGAAGACCCTGAATGTCCCCGGGAAACTAAGACCTATGCTCAACCAGCGGTGACCGAAATGGGCTGGCCTCGTGGGTGGGGAAATCATAGTTCCTGATCTGGAGGGGGAGTAGGTATGATGTGACGGGACGTTCTGTCCCTGTGAACCCCATTTTGAGCAGTGTAGGTGGGAATAGACTTGGCTTTCTTCTCCATCCACGTGGGTTAAAATGAGAGTTCAGTAAGCGGACAACACCCACAGTCTGGCTCACCTCGGAAGACCGTGGAACAGGGATCACTGGACACAGACAGCGGGCTGCCACCTTCTCTTGTGAACATGAAGCTGATTCTGGTTCTCATTATTCTGCTGTGCGAGGGGTCCACAGGTAACTTGTCCACATGTAGCGCGGATCCTAGGGGGATATTACGGCCCATTGAGTGGAGACAAATTCTTTAGGATTATTGATGGCATAAAAAATGTAATTTGCTAGATATGTGATTTGAGCCAATTGCCTACTTTGTGCATCAGTTTTCTCATTTTTCAAGTGGATACAGGTGGGTATATTGACTTAATTTTGTAGCGCTCTTGCTAGGGTTACCCGCACTTACAAATGTGGAGCACAAAGTTCCTGGTAGGAGCTGTGTCAGTCAGAGTTCCCTTCTCTCTTGCTGTTGTCTTTTTATGTTTCTAAAAATCCTGAGACTCTAGGATCTCGAAGGGACTGGGTGTGCATAGAATTGGGTTGGTTTGATCCCTGGGGAACCTATTTATCAGCGACCAGATGAAGGAGAAAGGGAGAGAGCAAGGACAAGTGGGAGAGACGTAAGAAAAGTGTGTGAGAGAGCGAGTGAGAGCTGGGGTCATGGGGAAACGCAGGAGGGCCAGGCTAGCTCATGGCGGCTGAATAAGAGAAGTTTTGAAAAGTATTGCTGATATCATGAGGCTGGGTATTGGCAAAGGGAAGTTTCCACTGTTCATGTTAGGGCGGAACCTACTAATTATGTCATTAATTAAAACGCCACCTCTGCTGTTCTTTTAAAAGTAGATTTGGATCTGGATTGGACTGATGATGAAAAGTTACATTCTCTGGGGGCACTGAGCTGGATTATGGTCAAGAGAGTGCTAATTTGAGGGCATGGAGGTCAGAGTTAGCTTTGGGTCCTAGGGGTGGTATATAGGTCTACGTGATAACAAGAATTGAGCTCTCTCTTTTCTTATATAAATACTAATCTCAGAACTAATTGGACATTATCTAGGATCCTGGGGTCTTGGATGTTCTTAAACATGGGGTGATTCCCAAGGAGGAGGCTTTGAGTTTTCTCTTAGCAACATAGGGTCACTTTGAAACTATAGAAGGCCCCAGTTAGGGGTGAACCACATACCACATACCAGGTTGCTGCCTTCCCACAACAGGTGTAATCTTCTCTCCATCAGAAAACTAACCTTGGTTCAATGCTGTTTTCTGTGCACAGAGCGGACGCGGTTCAAAAAATGTTTTAATAATATCGAAGGCTACTGCAGGAAAAAATGCAAAATGGGAGAAATATATGAAGCAGCATGTCGAAATGGGAAATTATGCTGTGTTAACAAAGGACTTAACAAATTATATCATGAACGTCAACGGTCACCTGAAATTCCCCAAGATACCAATGCATCTCTGGATTATTTAATTTTACCAACCGTCACAATCGTCACAATCAACTATAATTAAACTCGTACTTTACTGATAGCCTCACTTCCTAAATAAAAAATCATGCTGAATTCAGCAGGCTGAGACAAGGGATTTACCGGCTTCTTTCAGTGAACCTGATCCTGTAAATAAAGAAGTCCTGTGTCTTTCCCTGGATTGATTTATTAATGTATTCACTCATGCTTTTGAAAACCTCAAACACAAACGAATGGTTACCATGTTCTAAGCATGGTAAGATGGGTCATATAATGAAACCCAGGACTGATGAACCTAGAGGGACAGCAAGGAGAATACGGGGCTCGGGGCAAGAGGGTACAGTGGTAGTGGTGGGGTAGAAGAGAGACGATGCCAAAGAGTCCGTGTAGAAAAAGATTGTTTGGAAACTGATTGTGGTAGCCATTGTGCGATTCTACTTGACGTGATCAAAATATGGGATGATACGATATATGCATTAAATCCCAACTTATAAAAAGTTTTATCAAATATTTAAAAAAATCCTAAAAGATCAGTGAAAGTCACTTTGGGAAAAAAAAGGTTGGGTGATATAGAGATGAAACAAACACATTGATAGTGGTGGGGTTAACCAACCTCTTTATTTTTCATGTCTGACACTATTTCATAACTTTTCAAGCATTAACTCTTTTCCTGTGATTTCTTCTGTCTAAGCAGATCTTTGGAGGGTGTGTGAGCGGGGTGATAATAGGCACATGGGGCTTTGCTAACAACCAAGAATCTATTAGAAGGAAGCAAGATGCTTACATATTTTCATAACAATTCTTGGGGGGGCCACCTGACAGGCAACGATGGTATCTAGTAATAATTCTAATATGCCATTTGAAACTTATTTGATGGTCATGCCATTTCTACCTATTTTAGATATGCTAAATAAGGATTGAATTTGATTGTTTTAAGAATTGAGATTAGTATTTGATACTACTTTGTTTATACTGATTTTTTCTGCTTATTATTGTTGATATAAATGATTATTGGGAAGTATGAAAATAGGGGCTTGTAAGTCCACTTGCCTTTAGCCATTAAAATTTGAATCTTTAAATGGGTTAGGACACTGTGGTAATTACATAATCTGTTGTCAATTTGAGTATTAAGAGTGAAGGGGTGGAGTTTACCCTGTCAATCAGTTTGATGACCTCATTTGGAGCCTCTAAGGAGATAAATAGCTCGCTGGAGGCAGGAGGTAGGCTCACTCCCTGGGGGACATTGCAGCTGACAAGACTCATTGAGCTACACTTGTGCCCTGAGCTGGAGGAGCCATGTGGAGACCCCTGCCAGCGCTGAGATGCTTAGAACACCACTGGATCCACAAGACTCCCCACCCACTGACCTGTGATCTTCCTGCATTCCCAGTCATTGCAGTGTTTCATGAGTCTGAGGAGGACTTTATAGATTGGTATGGGCTAATATTGGACTTATGGACTTGTTCTGGACAGAGCTGGGATGTTTTCTCAATGTACAATTACTCTTTATATAAAACCCTTCCTTGTACACATATGTGTCTATGAATTTGTTTCTGTAGCCCACCCAGATTAACACTTATAATACAATAATAAGGGTTCCTGGGTCACAGGGTGGGGGAAGGAGGGGATAAAGGGGAGCTGATGTCAATGAGTTCAGGAAGCAAGAAAATGTTGTGAAAATGATGGTGGCACAAATTATACAATTATGCTTGATATAACTGAATTATGGATTGTTGTAATATCTGTAAGCGCTCCCAATAAAATGATTAATTAAGAAAGGAATCTTTTTAATGCTTCTTGTTGTTAGTTGCCCTTTAGTGAATTCCAACTCAAAGCTACTCCAAAGTAAAACTCCTTTGGAGTTTTCAAGGTTGTGACCTTTGGAAGCAGATCACAAGCTCTTGCTTCTGAAGTGCCTGTGGTTGGATTGGAACTGCCAGCTTTTAGGCGAATAGTCAAGCATTTAACCATTTGCCCCAACCAGGGAGCTCTTCCTGAGTAATTCTTTATTAGCCAAGGCCAGGACCATTAAGGTTGTCCTCAGCAATTGGTTTTAGATATCACAAAGATTGAACCTAACATCATGGTAATCATTACTATGCTGGGAAAGTGTCAACCAACCAAACAAAAACCTATGCTGAGTTGAAACAAAAAAGGATATGTCAAGTAATTTCATTGGTACTATCAACCTACACAGCACGGACCCTAGGGTCTCTAGAGACGTAGCGTCTCTCTATTTTTGTTTAGTTCTTTACTTTTAGGTGTGTTTATTTTGCAAAGTTAAAAAGGACAGTGGAAGCCCAGCATGCCACATGGCCAGGCCAGCAAGCCCTGCAGAAAAGCTGGGGTGGATGGTGGGGGCTGTGTGCTGCACCTGGGGCCTCTCTCACCGCCCCCAGTGCAAGAGGCATCTCCCAACACAGGACACCCCTCGAGATGTGCACATTATATATGCATATTTTTCACTGCCCTGCCCGCCCCTGAGCAGACCAACATGCCCAAAGCCCTGGACTCCCCCCACTCTGCCCTGCAGCCCCCGGAGGCCCCTCAGCTACGGTTCAGGCCACAGCCAGCACCTCCTGTCATTTTCCCAGGCTTTTCCTTTTCCCTTTTGAAGGACTCAGAAAATAAAAGGTTTGAAGGGTAAAAAAAGTCAGTGGAGAAGTAGACATCACCAAAAAAAAAGAAAAGTTTGACTTCCTCCTCTAAATTCAACTTGACTTTCTGGCCACTCCCTGTAGATGCACTGCTGTAAATTCCTACTTACATGGCATAGTAAGGATATTATTTGGTAATGTCTGCGTTCTGTTGGGTCACCTTTCTTTGAAATGGGTACACATATGGAACTCTTCTAGGTGGTTGGCCAGGTAGCTGTCCTCTAAGTCTCTTGGCCTAGAGGAGTGAGTGCTCCCGGCGCTTCATCAGTCTGCTGAACTAT